AAATGCGAAGTAAATACATATCGTCACACCTATGCTAGAAACATGAATGTGCAAATGTACCAATTTGAGTTATTGGCTTGACTTAATTAACCTTTGGATGTTCTATGTTTTACCAAAACCCACAATACCATGAGTACACGGAAACCACATATTTCACAATGTCAATTACATGAATGGCGAATTAAGTCTCGTAAAAACTTTCAAACTAGATTTCCCAAAATTTTCATCTCTACATATTCATGTTTCTGGCATGCAGTGGACGATATGTACTTGCTGATTTGTTTTACAATTTTTTTTTTTTTAAAGCAGACGTTTTTTCAACTACCACTAACGCATTTAGTGGTAGTGAAAAAAAATCTGAGTCCCATTACTTTTAGTGGGATTAGAAAAAAATAAGCCTCAATATATTCAATATTAGTGGTACTTGAAATTTAGTGCACTACGCCCGTGTCTGTGCTAAAGGCGCCTTTTTTATACCCGAGCGCACTTGTGCACAAGGGTATTATAACTTTGTTCACATAACGATTGTTTGTAACAGGCAAAACGAATCGAGATAGATATAGACAAATATATACATAAATGATCAGAATGAAAAGATAAAACGATTAAGCGGTGACTGTCTGTCCGTCCGTCCGTCCATTCGTCTGTGCGGCTGGGATTTCCATTACGGAACCAATTGCTATTCCGTGCAAAGTATAGTGAATTTTTTTATGAAACTCGGTGGGGATACTAATGGAGGTCTCCTTTAACTATATTTACCACTTTCACAATGTTGTTGCTAATAGTACTTAAGTTATTTGTTGTAAAATATCCCGCCTGCTATCACCACATTTTATTATAACTCCACACCTATCACTTTTATATACACAAATATATTATCCTTCAAATGTTCGCATGCGTTTGTAATACCTTAATATACAATTATTAATTAATTAATTAAGTAAAACGCGTTTATAAATGTCTTCACAAATGTTTGCACAAATGTTCGCGCGATTTTTTATTATAAATTTTAGCCTGCGGCGCTTTTCCCATAAAAATCAATACTTCGATAAATAATGAAAATTTTTAATAAAAAATCGCCCACTTATAGTTACATGTGTATATCTTGGTAACGGCTGCACCAATTTTTTCCAAACTTGGCACAGTTGTTGACCCTGGTACAGCATACCAAATGGCCGAAAATTTTTAAAATCGGACAATAACCACGCCCACATCCCATATAACGGTAATTTCGAGAAATACGAAATCCTCGATATATCAGTAAATATTAAAGCTAATTTATTCAAAATTGATTATTGCAACAACTCTTTACCAGAAAATACGTTTATGATAAAATTTTGGAAAATGGGCGTGGCACCGCCCACTTATGATCACATATATGTATCTCGTTAACCGTTCTAGCAATTTGTACCAAACTCGGTATGGCTATTGTGCTTGCCACTTAAAAGCAAACCGTTGAAAATTGTTGAAATCGGACTAAAATTAGGGCCGCTTTACACATAACCATAAATTTCAGAAATGCTTGAAATTTTAATATTACGAAATTTAAGGATGCTAGTTTACTTATAATTTATACACCCGCTTATCATGTAGCGGTAGCTTTCGGAAAGGTGGAAAACATATATTTAATACTTGCGCCAGGTATTTAATTTCTGGCTCCGCCCGAACTTATACTTTCTCACTTGTTTATTCTTAGCATTTATATTCAAATATTCGGATATCACTATTCGCATATCCGAATATCGACACACTATTTGGATAGAGGAAGATAGAGGAAGAGGAAGGCCTCCTCTGCGTTGGAAAGACCAGGTGGAGAAGGACTTGGCTTCACTTGGCATTTCCAATTGGTGTCAGTTGACACAGAAGAGAAATGACTGGCGTGCTGTTTTGGCTTCGACCATAATGGCCTAGGCGGTTACAGCGCCAATAAAGAAGAAGAATTTTTATATCCAGCTATTCGGATTTTTTTTAATTCAGATATTCGAATATCCAGAACGCCCGGATAGTCAAAAATTCTGTTAAGAACTATAGCATTCTCGCATAGAAAAGTAAACGTTTGCCGTCAAAATTTCGTTATCTTTCTTGTTTCGTTTGCATAAAAAATGCACCTTAATTACGAACTATACCCCGAAAAGTCATAACGCTACTACTGTAGTGGGTGCATCGCACCCAATCAATTTTTATACCCGAGCGCACTTGTGCACAAGGGTATATTAATTTTGTTCACATAACGGTTGTTTGTAACAGCAAAAACGAATCGAGATAGATATAGACAAATGCATACATAAATGTTCAGAATGAAAAGAGAAATCGATTAAGCCATGTCTGTCTGTCTGTCTCGAGCAAAAATTGAGATATCTCAACGAAATTTAGTATGTAGGTTTCCATTTATCCAAGGTAGGTTGGTATTGAAAATGGGCGAAAGCGGTCTGTAACCACGCCCACTTCCCATGTAACGGTAATTTCCAGAAATACGAAAGCTGCGATATTTTCGTAACTACTGAAGATAATTCACTCAAAATTGATATTTGCAATAATTTTCAGACGAAAAATAAGAATATTATAAATGTTTAGAAAATGGGCGTAGCCACGCCCACTTATGGTCACATGTGTATTTCTTGGTAACCGCTGCACCAATTTCTTCCAAACTTGGCACAGTTATTGGCCTTGATACAGCATACCAAATGGCCAAAAATTTTTTAAATTGGAAAATAATCACGCTTACATCCCATATAACGGTAATTTAAAGAAATACAAAATCTTCGATAAATCAGTAAATATTAAAGCTAATTTATTGAAAATTGATGCTTGAAACAATTCTTTACCAAGAAATACGTTTATGATAAAATTTTGCAAAATGGGCGTGGTAACCGTTACACCAATTTGTACCAAACTCGGTATGGTTATTGTGCTTGCTACATAAAAGCAAAATGTTGAAAATTATTGAAATCGGGCTAAAATTACGGCCGCTTTTCATATAACGGTAAATTTGAGAAGTGCTTGAAACTTCAATATTTCGAAATTTAAGGAAGCTAATTTACTCAAAATTGATACACCCCGGCTTACCATGTAGCGGTAGCTTTCGGAAAGGTGAGAATCATATATCTAATATTTGCGCCGGGTATTTAATGTTCGGCTCCGCCCGAACTTGGATTTTCCTACTTGTTAAAACTGGTTTCGTAAAGTTTGTTGAACATCCCTTTGAATTTAAATCATTAATCAGTGTTGTGGACGATACCTGAAAAAAACAAAGGTTAAATCTGTGGCCCTTGCGAGGGTTCTGGCCAAGCTTGGAAGAATTTGTCTGCAATTGGTTAGTATAAATAGCAGAACTTTTAGGAAAAGATTACTTGAAAATTAATTTGAGTGCACTAGTGCAGAATGTATTTTCAGGTTTAAAAATTACTACTAAATCTATTCTTCCATCACTGCTTCAACGTCATTATCATGTATTGGTTTATGTATATGATAAAATTCCACTAGCTAGATTTGTTCCACAAGCATTCAATCAACACACTTTTTTCGATATGTGTGCGTGGCGTAAAATCGGATAATGCCTTTTTCGCACCCTGTGTAAAGCCTTAACATTTTACGAGCAAAGGTCAAAACCTTATGGTGTTGAGTAGAGTTTCAAAAGTAGATGGCGCCAAACACAGTAATGAAAACAATGCGTTTGCAAGGGAAGAACCATGTAGGTACACTAAGGGCCGGTTGTTCAATGTCTGGTTATCGCTACCACTACACTATCGACGATTTCGACATCATACATGTAACATGTGATCGATAAAGCAGTAGTTGTGCTTAACCGGAGCTTCTACCTCCGATTTGTGCTAATCAGACATTGAACAACCGGCTCTTAAGGTCTGATTATGGCAACCTAACTTAAGCTAACTTAACTTTACTTTACATAACTTAACCCAAGCGGAATATAGCACTTGTCAATTCTTATACTGTCAGCTGTTTGCATTTTCAGTTTGCAAAAGAAAGTAAAAATATTAGCAATGGAGCAGTCGCTTTTACATTTGTCTTTTTTAAAACTCTGGCGATTATACATTATATATAAACGAACAAGACACATAAGAGAATGTGCTGTTCGTTATATTAACCGTGATCGGGTGCCAAATGGTTATTTCGTAACAGTGTTTCTTAAAACGAAGCTCCACGACGAAGGCCAATTTTTCATTCTTACAAGATTGAACCGCCAAACCTATGATCTTCTTCTGACCTTGATTGGCCCACATCTGAAAAAGCTATGGCAACGAATTTGTGCGGAAGAGCGCCTTTCTGATACACTTCTGTAAGTTGAAATGTGTGTATATCATAAAGCTAGATTGATAAACGCGTTTTCCATACTTTGTGTTTTAAGGTATCTGGCACAGGAACCTTCGTTCCAAGTTCTTGCATCCAAATACAAGTTGGGTAAATCCACAGTTCGCCAAATTGTCTTGGAGACATGTGAAATGCTGTGGAATAAATTGTCGCCAATTTATCTTAGCGAGCCTACTTCACACCAATACAGAGACATTGCAGAGGACTTCAACAAATTGTGGAATATGCCCAATTGTGTGGGTGCCAGTGATGGCAAACATGTTGCCATTACCTGCCCAAAAAACTCGGGATCAATGTTTTTTAACTAATAATAATAATAGATTGGCGCTTACACATATGTTAGTGTTTGGCCGAGCTTCTCCTCCGATTTGTGGCGTGCGCCTTGATGTTGTCACACAAAGCGGAGGGACCTACAGTTTTACGCCGACTCCGAACGGCGATTGTATTTTTATGAGAAGATGTTTTTCATGGCAGAAATGCACTCGGAGGTTTGCCATTGCCTGCCGAGGGACGACCGCTGTTAAGAAAACACCTTTTTTCTATTGTTTGCGATGTTGCTTTGACCAGGGTTTGAACCCAGGCGTTGCGGAGTGGAAGCGCGCACTGCTTACCACTACACCACAGCGGCCGACAACTTTTTTAACTACAAGAAGTTTTTTAGCATTGTGCTGATGGCAACCTGTGATGCCAAATATACATTCACATCGGCCAGTATTGAAAGCTATGGCAGCCAGCGCGACGGAGGTACGTGGTAATCAGTAAAAACTGTGAACCTTTTTTTAATAAAATACTTATGTAATTTAAAGGGCTATTCCAACACTCACCCTTTGGTCAAGCTCTTTTGGCAAATGAATTGCCATTACCGCCAAGTTTTCCTTTATGGATTGGATCTGCAGAGCCATTTCCATATTATTTTGTAGGTGATGCAGCATTTCCGCTGAAGACGAATTTGATGCGTCCTTTTCCAGGATTAAGAATGTCTCAGAGCAAATCAGTATTCAATTATCGTTTGTCACGAGCTTGCCGCGTTATAGAGAATGCTTTCGGGATTTTAACTGCCCGTTGGCTTGTGCTTCGAACCACAATAGAATGCAGCCCAGAAAACTGCGAAAAGATTGTTTTGGCATGTTTGGCACTCCACAATTTTGTAATGTTGAATGACCCCAAACGTTGGTACTGCCCAGAAGATTTTACTGAAAATCCAGTAAGTAGCGAACAACATAGAGAATGGCGTAATCATGCAGAAAGTGGCCCATTACATTCTATCAGATCCTCTAGCCGCAATGCGTCCAACACTGCTTTTCGCTTAAGAAATGTATTAGCTGAATACTTTCTTAATGAAGGAGCTATTCCTTTTCAAAATAGGAACTATCAAATAAGTACCTTTTGTTTGTATCTTCGTCTGTGTTTTATATAAGTATGTATATATATATCAGATCATTTTGCGGTTGTATACGGGTCTTCAATGAACTAAATAAATGTACATGTAGAAATGAAGTAATAAGTACGCAAAAATTTATACATTTCATTCACTTCATTTTACTTATTTCTAGGAATTTCAGTATGTAGGTATATAAACAAGTTTATTTTCAAGTAACATTGTAAGTACATATGCATATAAATGGAGAAAACTAATTCAGGTACATTTTTTGTACTATTGTTATTTTCAAACATTAATAAGTTAGTCTTCAGGCTCCTCTTTAATAGACATTACAGCCTCAGTCAATACGCTTATGGCTTTCGTTTGCTTTTTTGAAGACATACTACAAATAGTAGCGACAATCATCTGGCCAAAACCGTGCATAGCCTCATTACCTTCTTGCTGTTGTTGTTGCTTATTTAAAAGCTCCTTATAGGAGCTACGAGCCTCCCTAAACTCATCTTCGACCTCGTCGTAGCCAGCACGCTTACGCTTTCGAGATGCTGGTGTTGTTTTTGTTGTAGCCATCGCGGCTGCTGTTGCATGCGCCGACGGTGTTGTATGCGTCGGAGGTGATGTTAGTGGCTTAGAGTCAAAATCAGTATCAATCATTTCAATGATAGGATATGGCACTGAGGATGTCGACGACGACTGGGATTCTTCTAAAACATTGAAAGTGCAGCGAGTTCTGAAAAGTTCGATTATATGAATACTAATTTATTGCATATTTTAAATAACCTGGTTATGCTTACGATCTGGGTTTGACGTGCTCCTTTAAAAAGCTTAGCACTTCCTGATGGTGCGTTTAGCCTTTTGTATTCTTTGGTAAACCGCTCTCTCAATGTAGTCCAACGCTTTATACATTTCTCCTCTACGTTAGTATTAAAAAAAAAAAACACAAATACATCAGTTTTATGAACAATTACTTGGGATATAAACACAAACCTGTTGCTCTCAAAACTTTTGAAATAGCTGCCTAAGCCGCCCGCTTTTTATCCGGCTGAACTTGTTGTAAATTACATCGTTATCCCTGACTAGCTCAATCAGCTTTTCGTCGTAAAACATTCTGAAATACAATAAATATCAATATAAGTTGTGATCCCGTACGAGTCCGGACTAGTCAGAAATAGTCAGAATCAGTCAGATTTTACTGGAAATCGATCCCGTACTCGGTTCTCTGACTATTGAGAGGACAAAAAAAGAGAGTAAATACGGTTCTCTCTCTGTCAGAAGTTACAAGCAGCGTTGCTTTATTTATCAAATTTGGTAATTTGATAATTAACACAGGTCTGCAAAAAAATGGGTTCGGAATGTTCTATAAAAGTGTAGTGTCATTTCCGAAGTAATTTTTTGCGTAGAATCCGAATCCGGGGTTTAAATTGCTCTATCACGTCAGGACTTTGAGATATCCTAACCTAAAAGTGCAAAAAACGCTGTTTTTGCCCATTTTTGAGGTTATGTAGCTACGAAGATTTTGCTCTTCATAAAAAAGTAGACGTGGTATTTTAAAGTATAAGTCTTCCTCTTTTAAAAGCCGTTGAGTTTGCTCAAATATCTTAATTTTTCACTGAGATATCGCATTTTGAAGTCTCCATGTTTGTGAATTTTTCGTTATCGAAATTTTCCGATAACGAAAATCCATTGAGATAACATGAGACGTGATACGGTCGATTATATAGTCGCACAAAAAAAATAGCCAACTAGACCCATATATCCCTATGTATTTTTGGTCGATGAATCCGAATCCGAGGTCAAAAAAATGGAAAACCCACCCCAACCCCTAAAATACCACCCTTACCAAACCGCAAGCAGGCTCACCTTCTGACCCGTGGAACAGCGAATTAAATTGCATATTTTTCTTCAAATGAATATAATTTTTCTTGAAAATTAGTCTCACACCTTTAGTCAACTACTGTAACGACTTCCAAACCCACCTAATCCCCACCCACCACCCCCTAACGCCTCAAAACCACCCCTACCAAACGACAAGCAGGCTTACTCACCTGACCCTGAAAACGGTGAGTTTGATCGCTTATGTTTCATGAAATAATTCAATCCCATACCCAAGCGGGTTAACGCACCTATCACCAACCCAAATTACCCCAAAAAACCACCCCTACCAAACCACAAGCAGGCTAACCCACCTGACTCTAGAAACACCGAGTTTAGTCTCTTATTTTTCACAGTTTTTACCGTCGACATTCGATACTTGTGTTGTCTTTTTAATTTTCATATCTGTATCAACTTTTTTAATCAATAGATTTCTAAAACCAAAATTCACTATTTGTCACTATTCCAAACCACCTTCTTACAATCATGAAGGGAATAAAAAGAGGTAAAAATTTCGAAAATCTACCCAAACGTTATTTACCCTTAAAAACCCTTAATGGTTTATGTTATGCTAACGATTGTCCCTCTACTTATATTACTTCTACTATATTATCTCTTTTACTTAACTGTATCCACAAATCCCGAAGCACAAATCCTTTACCTAGAAGTCCTAAATCCACAAATAGAAAATCCAACATTTTGACTGTATTAAAGGTTTTTTTGTGAATTTCGGATTCTTGAATTTAGGGCTAATAAATACCGAAATTGTTTCTTTGAATGGCTGTATCATGTAAGATTTTTGAAAAATCCTAACTAAGAAATGTAAAAAAAATGTTTTCAACCAAATGAAGTTTATAGTACATCGAAATGTAGTTAGTTGAATTGAAAAATTTTGTTGATCTCGATGCAGAGCTTAAAGTAGAACTTATTTTTTCAGTTAGCATACATTTTTGTAATTTTTCATACATTTTTATATTTTTTCCTCATTTAACCTAAATGTAACTCTAAAATTGATTTATAACTGTAATTTTACGGGATCGTCTAGCCTACGATTGACTTTAAATTAATAAAACTTATGACCTCTGCAACATGTTAGTTTAATCGTAGGGTGCATTAATCTACAATAAGGTTGCAATATCAGCTATTGCAATTCACAAATTCGATAACCTGTTAAGCTTTAGCCCGCAAATTAAAAAAAATACAAACTTGTAAACTAGATTCTTAAAATCATATTTTACTTAATCTTGATTCAGGTCATGTGTGAGGTTGCAATGTAAATCTTGTAACTCAATAACTTCAAAGATAAATTTGATACTACTAAAATTTTTGCATTTGCACAAATCAATCGTTCTCACGATTACTTCTCTGCTGGAGATTTTTTCAGCGATCAGTTTTTTATCAGATTTCGTCATTCATTTATATTAATCTATTCTTAGAATATAATATCTGCTTATTTACTTGCTCTATAACAGTCAATTTGTTTCTTTTTCTATAAGAATCGTATAGAAATTTTAATACCCTAACATCTGTATACTTTCACTATGGGATCTCGTGAATGTTTAAATGATCCTAATAAATTTTGCTACATTTATGGCCGCTTTACTTTTGATAAGCAAAAGATCGATATCAATGAAAATATTAAGAAACATTACAAGAATTACTTCGATATATCAATTTCTCATCAAGATAAGCCTTGGGCTCCACATGTTGCTTGTGGGTCATGCGTTGCTGCATTGAAACGTTGGAATAACGCTACGAGTAAGATCGTACCAATGCCTTTTAAAACACCTATGATTTGGCGTGAAGCTTTCAGTCATGATGACTGTTATTTCTGCTTGACTAAGACTTTTGGTTTCAACAGTAAAAATGCTCATAAAATAGAATACCCAAATGTAACAAGTGTAACAAAAACAATTCCTTATGATTCTCATGATAGACCTCCAAATCCTCCTCTTTTAAAGCAAAATGTTGAAGATGATACAGTCATTGACGAGACTAATTCAAATGATGATGACTTTTATGACTCCACACCTATACTTTTTAATCAAGCTGCACTGAATGATTTGGTTAGGGATTTAGGTTTACCTAAAGATAAATCCGAGCTATTGGGTTCACGATTAAAGGAAAAAAATCTTCTTGCCCCTGGAACTACTTTTTCATGGTATAGACATCGGGAAAAATCATTAGTAGAATTTTTTTCTAAAGGAGGCGATTACGTTTAAGCAGTAATATTTGTGGCTTAATGGAAAACTTAGGTATAACTTATAATCCTGAAAACTGGAGGTTATTTATTGACTCATCTAAGACGAGTTTAAAAGCAGTTTTGCTGCATAACACAAATAAATATGCTTCCATACCTATTGCTCACTCTGTGTACTTGAAAGAGACATATGAAAATGTTAAGACTATTCTTAATGCAATTGATTACAAACAGCATAATTGGAAAATCTGTGGAGATTTAAAAATTATATCTATGCTCCTTGGACAACAGTCAGGTTACACAAAATATCCATGCTTTATATGTTTATGGGATAGTAGAGATAAAAATCAACATTACGTTAAGAAAGATTGGCCGCTTCGTAAATCTCTTAAAGCTGGAGATCCTAACGTTCTTCATAACCCATTAGTTGATAGCAAAAAAATCTTACTACCTCCTCTTCATATTAAATTAGGACTTATGAAGCAATTTGTAAAGGCTCTTAACAAAGATGGTGCATGCCTTAAGAACCTCGCAGAAAAGTTCTTCAATATACCTGATGCGAAGATAAAAGAAGGTATATTTGTTGGACCACAAATACGCCAACTAATGAAAGAAACGGACTTTGAAAATGTGATGACACCCGTTGAGAAGAATGCTTCGACCAGCTTCAAAAAGGTTGTCAAAGGATTTTTAGGTAATAATAAAGAAAGTGATTATGAGAAATTAGTTAATGACATGCTTTTAAACTTAAAAGAGCTAGGTTCCAATATGAGCGTTAAATTGCACTATTTACATTCCCACGTACATTGGTTTCCAGAAAATTTAGGTGATGAAAGCGAAGAACAAGGAGAGCGTTTTCATCAGGATGCAAAAAAAATGGAACGACGTTATCAGGGAAAGTGGTCTCCATCTATGTTGGCAGACTACTGTTGGTCTCTTCAACGTGATGAGCCACATGTCCAACATAAAAGACGATCCAATACGAGAACATTACAAGAAAAGAAAAAACGGTTCCATAAGGATGAGAGTAGTGAGAGGCAAGGGGACTCACGTTAAACTAGCACCCCATCGTGAGAGGCAAGGGGACTCACGCTAATGAAGCACCCCAAAGGTAACAGAAACCTACT